AAAAACCCAGAGCAATCGTACCCTTTACCCTTAGAATCCAGCTTTAGACCCTCAACGAATGAAAAAAATAAGCCTTATTCTTCAAAATAGAGCGGCGTAAAAAATATAGTGAGATTTCAACATGCCGAAACAAGTTCAAATGTCGATCGACCGTCATTGATCCATAATCGCAGGTGACGAATGGCCGTGACCGAGGGAATACCGCAAAGCACGCAAGCAGCCCTCGTACAACGATCCAACTACGACCCCACGTTCCCGCCTCCTTCAAAGACATCGATCGACCAATGAGAAATACAATTGCTGCAATAAATACTGTTAAAAAAAAATCTTTACCCAATCAGATGAACCTCCCTCGCAAAAGCGATGCAGTTGCTACCGTCTGCCAGTCTACAAACTAACACGTACATGCAACTGCGAGTAGGCAGTGAATGGCTCCACAGCATCAAGCTTAGACATGGAAAAACGCACGCGCTAAAAGCGCGGCGCAGAAACAAACTGCCTCTATCGGTTACGTACCATTAACGTGAACCGCCGTCGCTCGTCGTTACGCTAAGCGAAATGAACATTTAACTTTCCGGTTTTCGGGGCCCGGCTTCACACAACAATGATATGTTCCGGATGAGATGGTCTCGAATATTACGATTCGTCAACGGCTTCCCGACGACGCCCAATCCGGTGGCATGACGCAGCACGGCAAGCGAGGGTGCCACTCATCGAAGCTACGAGTCACTTTCTGGCAGCTGCGCACACAGGGGTACTGCTACACCTTTGCAACCCTGTTTTCTTCCCTTTCTCGGTTCTGAGCTAGAGGATGGAAGATGAGTCCGCACGGGCGCGGCATTCTTGCACGCGACCTGGCACAGTTAGGTGGGATGGGAGAGGCGGCGACAACTATAGCCAAAGCCTCATTGATGACCAAAGCATGTGATCATATTTCGAAGTAGAGATCGGGAGTGGTTGCCGACACGCAGCATCCATCCCATGTTCAAATGCATAACTAAGACGGGTGTGGATCACCTCAACTGAGCAACAACTTCTGCAAGCTGCTTAGCCGATGGAAGCTCGCACACATTGTACACCATGCCTGCGAAATAACGCTCAACCAATGCAGGCTATGGCGCGCAACTACCACAGAGCATGATTGTAGCACGAGACACGTTGACATCTATATATCGCTACATCATAGCCAGCACAATAAATATACATCTTATGTAAGCTGCACAACAAAAATAACAACATTAACAAAAATAGATACATTTCGTTCAATATACATACATAGATACACATGCATCATGGAAGATGATATGGAATGCCAGAAGTGTCTATGGTCTTCAGAATAAGGAATGCTCGTACTGGCACGTTACAACACCCTAAACTTAATACTGTCATGTGGAAATTTCCACAAGATTCTCAAAGCGTCAACTAAAGCACTCGAATCGTAAGACGTACATTCTCAGTGGGATGTCATTCTCATGTAATACAATCATGCAATGATTCTCAGAAAGTAGTGTAAAATCAGAATGCTCACTGCAACATGGAACACAGGGTTTATAATATACACATAGCGGCACATCAATAAATGCAATGTCATTTTGTCCTAATCATATGTCATGGTATGATTATGGATAGAATCAAAATTGTGTGCAGGTTGCAGAACTACAGAAGACACATTTTGGATTAGACTGCAAACCAAACAGACTTTAGTAGCTGAAACAGTAGAGAAAAACAACCCAGCTCAATGTAATCATATAACGAAAGGACAAACCTGGAGTAAAACAAGAGGATAAGATCAACAAATAGAAAAGAGATCGAGTAAACTTTCACAGAGTAAGGCAGTGTTGTTAAGGTTATTTGAATGAACAATAACTTCTAGCTATGACAAAAACGGGACGAAAACACTTAATGAAACTTCTCAACCATACACATCCCTGGCACACACCAATGCAAAGCAGTACGCACACAGGATAACAGATGGCGCTGCACTAGCAATAACCGAACAGGAAAAAAGCCAAACTCGTTTGTAGTCTGTGATAGCGAATGCATCTGAAGTAGACACCGTCCCCCCAAAACAGCGTCGACACCATCACACATTAGAGATAGCCAACATCATAGTAACTTTTACTACGATCACTGCGGTTCAGTTACGCATAACCGTCACCGCCATACGTCCGTTGACAAGCTGAACGATAAGATTACGATGACTGTTACACAAGTTTTTCTTTCCCAATGAAACGGGTGTTCGGCGTACCATTTTCTGCGCATTCTGCAGCTACACTTGACAGCACTATCACCAACTACGGCCGAAAATAATGAAGCGACAGAGACACTAACCTAACAGCTGCGCAGGTTAAACTGCAAATCGGTTTTGGCTGGGAAAAATGGCCGCCAATAGCACGTGTATCCATCGCGAGCAGCCATCCCTTGAGCATTGCATTGGCTTCGTGCAGCTTACTGTCGCCCCTCCCCAGCAAGTTACTTCTCCCACCACGCCCAACGTTAACGCGCGAACGTCGCTACATCTACCGCCGCCTGCTCAGAATGGATCGTACGTGCACGCGTGAGGCGTCGCCAATATATCCTGCCATTCTTCACGTCGACACCTCTACTCCTGGGTTTCCTGCCCTTCTGGCGAGCCCTCGTTCTTGCTGTCCTTCTCACCATTGGCTGCTGCGTCAGGAGCAGCCTCTGCTGGCTTCTTCACGTCCTTGGGCTTCGGCTCCTGGGTTGGGTCTAGAAGAATCTTGCCAATATTTTTGCGGTCATGCATCTTCTGCATTCCCTCTTGGACCTGAGAAAAAAATTGCCAAGGTAAGTAACAATCAAACAGATGACGGTCACACGATATATATACAGGGATGAGATTCTTCCGCGGATCCGCTTCCGCGTCTTGACAGTCCCAGGGGTCGATTTTGTGAAACGTCTAAATTCGTTGAGAAAATTGGGGGGAGGGGGTAACAATGTAAAAATTTAATTTATATACCCTCAACAGCACCTGACTGTAGACTGTAGAGTGTAGACAGTAGACTGACAGCGAAGTATACAGTGTATCTGTTTTTGTGTACCAGAAAAGAAAATCCTCGTTCACAGGCTGCAGTAGAGGGGCAGACATTTGAGGTAGCTGATCACGTAACGACGATGCCTGGCCGTTAAATTTATTTATTTATTTATATGCGGGGGCTTAGGTTATTTCCACTTTCTGGGACAAGCACGTCTGCTGCTAGCAGAGTGAAAGTAACTATCCATTTTTTTCCGGAGAAAACTTGGAAACGAAAATGCATTTTATCGCATTTTCAACTACCATTTTGCTGTTACGCCGTTTAACTTCGCTAACAACACCCCTGTTGCCAGAAAGCACGTACGTAAACCTGAAGCTATAAACAGCCGTTCTGCAGCTGTTATAAAACAAGTTAAATGAAATTTCCAGAAAACCCACAAAAATTAGGTTGTCATTTTTCTAGGGGGAAAATTAGGATTTCTTTTTCTTGAAGTTTCCACAAGACTAAATATTCTGAGGAAGAATAAGGAACCTAAATGCTATCCTAGGGGTGTAACAATGGAGCTGGCTTCCATGCAACAGCCATAGAAGAATCTCAAACACTTGAGAATTATGGGAATCTTTCCCTCATACTCACTAATACACTGAACTCATTCTACACCCGCCACTCTCCAGCTTAGTTCTTCATCCTCACAGAGGATCGACCCCGGGGGGGGGGGGGGTGTAACTATATATGCCTATATATGTTTTCCACTTCTAAAGCGGGCCCGCGCGGGAGCAAATAGGCCCCCCTTTACAAGCTAATCCCGCAATAAGCCCCCCGGGATCGTTCAAGTCAAGCACCGCGCCCGCAGTAGGCCCCCCTCATGACGAACCACATAGTACCCCGCCCCAGTATTCCCTCCACTCTTTGCCCTCCACTTGTCTGCAAGACCTCGCAATATATGAGGGTAGGACCCCGGGTAGGACTCTTTCATTGTGTATGTAATAGGGGGTAGGACCCCGGGTAGGACTCTTTCATTGTGTATGCAATATGGCGGTGGGATATTTTCTTGTGTGCAATAGGGGGTGGGATATTTCATTGTGTATGCAATAGGGGGTGGTATTCTTCAATTGTGTCTGCAATAGGGGGTAGGGTTTTCCAATGTGCAGTTCGCACTTAGGGGGCCTATTATTTTTTAGTGAGAATGCACATGGGTAATGTTCTATATAGAGAGTGACCCTCCCCCCGGGGGATCGACCCCCCCCCCCCTCACTCCAGTTTCGTTCCACAACCCAAGCTGTTCACCACTGACCCAGTTCACGCCAGCCCACCCACCTACACCTCAGCTTCATCCCACCCCCCTACTCCGGTTTCACACCACCACGCAGTTCGGCTCGTCGCTACCTCGGCCACCCCCACCTCTCCCACCATGACAAACAAACATGTGGCGAACGTACGTCCTCGTAGGCCCAGGTGGAGTCGATGTGCGGGCGGATCTTTTTCCGGCGGTGAACAGCGCGACGACCTTCTCCATGATGGTGCGCACGTACTCATGCTGGCCCTGCCTGAACAGCAGGTGACGCAGCATGATGCCGCCGATGAAGCGATTCTCGTCGTACAGCTTGATCGGGCTCACCTTGTCCACCTGCCACCACTGCAACAACGACGACGACGTTAGTTAATCGCCGTGGCGCCGCACTCCGGAGAGAGCTCACGACGACGTTAGTTAATCGCCGTGGCGACGCACTCCGGAGAGAGCTCACGACGACGTTAGTTAATCGCCGTGGCGACGCACTCCGGAGAGAGCTCACAACAACGACGATGCTATTTAATCGCCGCGGCAACCCGACATGCACGCTGCACGATCGCCGACATCCCTCGCGTGCGGCGATGACCGCCATGACAGATAGCATGCGCTGTACTACAATGCCGCTGCTGCAGTCGACAACAGACACAACCACGGCACCGAGGTGATGCGACGTGTGGCAGTGGGGTGATGGCGAAAGTTGCCGACGCTATAGCGATAGTTCAGGAAGATGAAGAGAAGGAGGACTAACTGTTGACTAGTCAGTATTAATATAATACTAAAAGCGTATTTTACAACTTTTAGTGAAAGTCTAGGAGAAAAAGAGACGAAGAAACAAAAGTTAAGCAGGAAAATCAGTTTCAGTTTTCACTAGGAAATCCTACGTCTAGCACATACTTCTGCATTGCACATTTATTTAAGTTTTGTCTACAGATTTTATACTCTAGTCATATAATATCACATATAGTGATCATAGTGATAATAAGGATGTGTGTTTTCCTGTGAGTTTCTATACAAATAATGTTTTTCGTTTACCATTTTCATAAAAACCTTTGTACTTATAACTTTAATTACAAACATATCGTTAAACAAATCGCTACTAATTAAAAACTTATATCCAATTAAAATGCTTAAATGCACATACAAAAAAAATTTCTCTTCTAGTTATTTATAAATAGCATGCTGCTCAGCATTTACCAGATTGTAATTACAATCGACGCTAATAACCAATTTAAGATATAGCATCTACACACATTGTTACGATACAGCACTAGGAAATTTTCCTCGTCCAAAACCTTTAGGTCTAAACTCATTTTCAGACGCATGCATCAGATATATACTAACAATCCATAAGAAAACAACAACACCAATGAGTCTATAATGATCTATAGAATATAATTATGATAGACTTGTTACAGTACACCTACCAGCAGCCGAGGCGATTACTAAGGCAACATTCAAAAAAAGCCAATAAAAAATTAATGCAAACCATTCTTACAGATTTGGCGAGGCTAAACAGGCTCTTCGTCTCGCCGGTGACGATGTTCGAGGTGCCGTACAGGATGTATTTACCCATCGGCTTCAGCAGGGTGTAACCCTTGTTGGCGTCGTCGCCACACAGGCAATCGAGCACCAGGTCTACCCCTTCTGGCGATATCCTGCAACACATTGTCCGAGCGTGACAGCAATCGAATTATCCAACAGTCCAATAGCAAAGGAACTCCCGCCTGACACGGTTACGCTTGTGGTGACACGCAGCATCCGTTATGACATTGTAAGTTGTAACACATTTGTAATGTGTGCGCCACATGTGCAATGTAATGTAACACATTTGTAATGTGTGCGCCACATGTGCAATGTAATGTAACACATTTGTAATGTGTGCGTCACACGTGCAATGTAATGTAACACATTTGTAATGTGTGCGTCACACGTGCAATGTAATGTAACACATTTGTAATGTGTGCGTCACATGTGCAATGTAATGTAACACATTGTAATGTGTGCATCACACGTGCAATGTAATGTAACTGCAACACATTGCAATGTAATGTAACTGTAACACATTGTAATGTATGCATCACACAGCGTGGAAAATAACTGGGAAGTGGCTGCGGCGCCGTTTTACGATCACTGAGCCGGGATACGTGACACGTGCCTGTCAACAATAGAACAATTAACTGAACAAGTATCTGTTACAGACACCAGCAAGCAGCTTCTTTGTGTTTGAATGTAGAGAGTTAAGCGAAAACACAAGTGTACAATAATAAGATGAATTTCAATGTTAATTTTGATTTTGGAACACTCCAGGATCATTGTTTATGGCATATTGTCTAACACATTCTGTTTATCTGTGAACCTGTTGCAATCTGTATCAGAGACAGTGGCGTAGCCGGGGGGGGGGGCCCCCTAAGATTTAGAAGGCTACCTTATTTAAACCAGCAGGACTGTTTCAAGTCGATAAAACATGCCAACAACATGCACCCACCCCCCTTAGATTTAATCCTGGCTACTCCACTGATCAGAGATTGACCAATTGGACAATTAGGAACTGGTAGTAGCTACATACTTGCGGGAAAAATCAAGGTAGGGCCACAATTAAAAAAATCTTTGTTTTCCCTCACCCGACCCAGGCTGAAAAGTTTGGGTAGGTAGGCCGGCTTTTCTTTTTTCTTTTTTTTTGAGGGCGGGGTCTTTTTACAAATTCAGCGTGGTGTCTACATGCTCGGGTGTGCTTGTGTGGAGATATATTTTATGTTGAATGTTTCTTTTGCTTGGTACATAATTTATAATGTATTGCCTACAGAATTATATAATGTACAGTGATACAATTTGTTTAAAAAAAAAGTCGACCCCTTTTTGGCGGGTCGGTCGGGTGAAGGCAAACAAACAATATTTTTATTATGGCCTATTGAGTCTATACTTGAGCCACACTATAGAATATTCATTCATTACAGCACACATGCTTCACGATACCATAATATACAAACACACAATAACTGCTAACTTTCATGTATAAGATTTTCACTCTAACGGATGCGTGTTTTTAGATACATTCTATAGATGTAATGTAATTGTATCTGATTGCCGCTTGGGGAATTCTGCAGGGAAAAATTGCACTCACTTCCTGATCTCTTGCACGTAATCGATGCTGTGGTCAAACAGATGGGTCACGTTTTCCTTTATGGCCTCTTCCTTGCCCTTGGAAGCTGTGCCGAACAGCGTCACGTTGTCTAGCGTCTTGCACAACTGCGACACTGCGTGGCCCTATACACATGCACAACAAACACACACAGGGTTAGACATTTTTATAGATTATCTACGAGGCATACGCGACACAATCCACTTTAGGCAATCGCATAAATTACCCTAATTTCGACCCAAAATATTCTCCTATAGAAATCCTTCGCCGTATTGCGCTTCGAAGTAACTTAATTAACGCACTTCATTATCGCTTACTTGTAAATAAACACGCATAGCAATCGAAATTCGCGTCCTTAGAGACAATAAATAATGCGATGATCCTCACACATCAAAGCCGGTGCCGCTTAACAAGCTTTTAACCTTAAAACTAAAATTAGGCCGGCTGTGCGCATTCATTAATGCGCATTATCAGTTCAATAATTCCCTGGGCATTCCACACCGAGTGTGTAATCACATCGCGATTGACTGCGCATCAGTATTGCCAGCGTGATGCCTTACACAACCGCATTTCATTAATCTACAAATATCTATTGCAGAATAACCTGCACCCCGCTGAGGCACACCTCGCCCACTGACTCACAAAATTTGTAGCACACATGCCACAGACGTTTACCTTGCGAAACCTGCAGCCACCTTACGTTGCATTTGTAACAGTGCGTGGAGTTTTATCGTTTTTAAAATCAAATTGTTGTTGGAGAAATTAATAGCTCTTCTCACATTGTACATTTTCTTATGGCATGTTGAGTACGCGTACACTAGCCAAGGCCGCGCCTGTGTGGCGAAACTGGGTAGATGCAAACCTGGATGTAGACACGTACGTACGCGAAGTGGTGCAGTGCGCCACATGCGAGTGGCGAGGGGACGCCTTTCGGCCTGCAGTGGCCTTGGGGACCCCTTATGTGACGTCACCTCGCTGGTCATATATATATGACCACACCTTGGGAGCTCTTGAGTTTCCAATTGCACGCACATTTACGATTCATGTGTTAGACTATTGGATGTTGGGATTCTTGCTCATGTGTGTGTTGTGAGCAGCAATAAATTCTTGTGCGTAGAAGCTCACTTTTGGACTTGTGAATTTATTTGTGTGATCGCTTTTCCTTCGAGCGGAAATGCAACACGAACGAATTGGGTTTGGAAATTAATGCAATTATACAATTAATACGAAGCAAGGAATACACAACGCAAGGCTTAGGACAGTAATACGATCACGAGCCACACACAGTCGGGTGTCTCCCGACGTATCTACACGAAATGAAACTTAACTCGACTTGGTTTCACATCTCGGCGTAAACGGATATTATTGTACGAAGAACTACGATGCTAACAGTTTGCCAATAAATAACAGCAGAGCCCCCCGTTACAGCGCCATCGTCAACGCAGCGATCTGACGTCAGGTAAATTTTCACTTTCCGTAACCACGTTTGCGGCAAGACGAGACTATACATGCCAAAAACATCCTGCTCCCTGAACTAGATCAAGATCTACGCACGCACGCACGCACGCTGGCACACACACGCGCACGCACGCACGCACATACACGCGCACGCACGCACGCACATACACGCGCACTCACGCACGCACGAACTGCAATTCCTGTTTTGCGGTTCATTCAAGCCGATACGGCTATTGATCGTAAAGTAAAGATCAGTGCCGAACCGAGAATGCTGGCTGGTTACACTGTAGACACATTATTCGCCGCGTTTATAACGAACGAGGAAGGAACCTCTCGCCAGAGTTGATACACGTATTGAATCAAGTAAATACCGGCCGCAGGTTGTCGCCTATATATCCTATATGACAGACGAGCCCGTATACACGCACCGAGACCGCACGTCCGCCAGATATCCGCCACAACAACCATTCTCCCCCCCCCACCCCAACCATCATCTTCTGTCGCATTGCCTGCAAGCTGCGCAACGTATTCAAACAGAGCCGCTGTACGTCACGAAAAATGTTAAAATACTGCTGGTCGGAATAACTATAGCCTATGCGGCGACGGAAATATTTTAATATCCACCACGCCGCTAACGCGAGATGAAATGATTGCGGCTATGAAAGTAATCATCAGGCATGCGCATTACGGGTGCGTAGCCAGCTCAGCATAAAAAGTGTCGACATGGTTTATATCCGTCTAAAAACTTAACAGCGCATTAGGTGCTATCTTGAGTAAGATAATGAAGCGTGTATAATGTGCTTACACAGCCTCCTTTTAAGACAATTAAGATCGCGCTTAATAAGTGATTATGGTTATATCCAATGGTAACGAACTATTTCCGATACTTTTGCACGCTCAACAGCAAGACGTGATTTTTTACATTCTCGGATCTGTGTCGCTTCCCGCCAAATTACCCTCCATTTATATGTTCGGCGGTGCAGCGAACCAAGTGAAGGACCACCGTGCATTATTTGCACGGTGTCTGATTCAACAACACCCATCGTTCCAGCATGCATATATATGGATATATACACACACGCACACACACACAAACACACACACACACACACACAC